CTTAAGTCATTAAAGAGTTCTCATTAGCATAGCTTTCATTATTATCTTATGTTGTTTAAAAAGCTTTCTTATGATATGTGAGGACCGCCAACCAATAACATGCTGTAATAGCTTATGTTCTCCTTTTGTGTACTGAAAACTTGCAGGATGTGATGCTCTGTGGTGGATCAGATGCAGTGATTATACCAATTGGTATGTATCCTATGTCTTGTCTCTTTTAGTTTAGGCAAGCTGACTTATTTGTTTGCAAATGATTTTTATCTTTTGCAGGATTGGGAGGATTTGTTGCATGCAGAGCGCTTTCCCAGAGAAACAGTGACCCTACTCGAGCTTCTCGGCCCTGGGATAGTGTAATGTCCTGTAATTCTTTTCGTCTTGTTCTCATGCTGCTGTCTAGTTGGAAATGCACTAATTTTATCTGGACTAGAAATGCTAATTCTAGAGTACTTGTTTTAGTCCGATTGTGGGGATAAATAAAATGACTGCATATTTTCATTTTGATCTTGGGCAGAATCGTGATGGATTTGTCATGGGTGAAGGAGCTGGAGTCCTGCTTTTGGAAGAACTTGAGCATGCCAAGGTGATTAATTAAGTATATTAGATTGCTTTTCTTCTTCACCCTCCTCGTGATTCTTAAATAAAAGATAAAAATAAGAAAAAGGTTCCCTAGCCAGATAATTATGCAAGGTATGCCCTTTTAATTTCATTGTCTGAATGAGCAGAGAAGAGGTGCAACTATCTATGCTGAATTTCTTGGTGGAAGCTTTACTTGTGATGCTTATCACATGACAGAGCCTCATCCTGAAGGTAATTGCCCTTGTCTTCCCACTATGAAATTGAAAATCAGAGGCTTAAAGTTCCCTTTATTGAATTGATCAATTGCCTAAAGTTGTAAATTAGCCACCTACTTTTTAAGCAAACAATTAAATTTAAAGTATGACAAAAATCAAGTGTGCCAAGATTTCTTATTTTTAGTGACTGTTGTATTTCTGTCCTTAAGATTCTTCGAACATGGCATGACCTACTTTGGCATATAAAGATTTGCCTTTCAACATCACAGTCTGCATCAATAACATAAAGTCCTGAAGCCCTTCTCTGTTTGGCCATTCTTGGTTGTAGTGCTTGAATTTCTTACTCACAACTTGTAATTAATAATGGATACGCAAAAATAGTAAATTGCTATCCCTGATTCTTCTTGAGCTTAATATTGTTTCCAATTTTCTATTTCTTTGATTTATTTTTTTTGTATCAAGTTGCACTAAAAATAGTTCTGTTCCCAGTCTTGTTTCTCCAAGGTCTAAGATTTTTGCCAAATCTCAATTTCAAAAAATTGTTGCTCAATTTGAAGCAAGGAGAGCTTAACTTGATAAGAAATGCACGATCTCTTATTTTGTGTAATGTAGATTGAACTATAATAGGAAATAAATTAACTCGAACTCTTCATTTTCCACAAATAAGCAGGAGCCGGCGTTATCTTATGCATAGAGAAGGCCTTAGCTCAGTCTGGTGTATCCAAGGAAGATGTGAACTATATTAATGCACATGCCACTTCTACACCGGCAGGGGATCTCAGAGAGTACCAAGCTCTTGTACATTGTTTTGGTCAGAACCCAGAGGTCAGATTTTTTCTCAACTACTGTTGCTCATTCCTGTTCCTTCAGGTTTTTCTTTCAGCTATTTAATTAGTTACTACTCCATGTTTTGCAGTTACGGGTGAACTCTACGAAGTCTATGATCGGTCACCTGCTAGGCGCTGCTGGTGCTGTCGAGGCAGTAGCAACTGTTCAAGTAACTTTATTTCACATTCCTTGAAGTAGTGCTGCTACTTGATTGCTGTTGCTTCTAGTTTCTTGTTTAAGACATCATCTAAATGACTTACATTTTTTGCAAAAATATGGATTTGAATAGCCATTTTTGAGATAACTCAACGATTATTTCTCTGCTACTTTCATAATTCTTTGCAGTTTACAGGTGCTGAGGAGTGTTATTGAATTGAAGAATTAACCTAAATAGCCGTCCATCCAACTGGTTAAACTAAAAATAGCCGGCGACGAATAATATATGTATAATCCATAGTATATATGTGTATGACCGTGTATAATCAGTGGATAATCTGTGTATACCAGCTAGAAAAGTTAAACAGTGAATCCGGTCAGTTTTTTGTGTAAAGATCCCTATTGAATTTGACAGTCTTGATTGGTTTATCCAACTTTCGTGGTGGAATCTCATTAGTTATAAAATCTGCCTAGATTGTGGGAAGGACAATGAAGATTGTCTTTTCTGTGGAAATTTACTGCAATCTTATGCGAATTTATGTTTTTAATAGCAATTGCTTGTGATAATGTTATCGGATTGACTTAAGAAAAAAAAAGATAATATTGTCAGATTGAACCTAGATGTTGGACAGCTTATCCATATGATTGTTGTTTACTGTATCTTTCTCAATACCCCTTTAAACATGTCTCTTCGGTGCTGACACTCTTTAAAATTTTATTGCTTGACTCTTTAAAATTTTATTGCTTGACTCTGACCGAGGGTTAAAATGATTTTTGTAGGCAATACGAAGTGGATGGGTTCATCCAAATATAAATCTTGAAAACCCAGAAGAGGGTGTGGTATGACTCTCTTTTCGTTGCACTGACAATTGTTTTTGTTCATATGAGCTTGATTTATTATCTTAAGTCTATACTTTTATCAGTTAGTTGGTTACCCTTTATAATCTCAGTTTCTAGATTAAGGCAGATTAGAAGCCATCTTAATTCTCTGTCTTTATAACAAACTTTGGCTAAAGATGGAGTCTTTTGCAAAATAATCAATCAAACTGCTAAGTCAGTTAACATCACTTGCATTAATCTTTCATCTCAAAATTTCTATCCTATTACAAAAACATTTTTTATTAAACATGAATGGAAGCATCTCATATGTCATCTCTCTTGGTTCAATTCTTTCAACAATTTAGTGTTATAATTTGGCCTTTGATGATATCTATATGCTTGAAACAGGATACAAATTTGCTCGTGAGTGCCAAAAAAGAAAGATTGGATATTAAGGTAGCACTATCTAATTCATTTGGATTTGGCGGCCATAATTCGTCGATCTTATTTGCTCCTTACAAGTAGATATCAGTGACAACATTGGTACATCCAAAGGTATGTAAGCGTGTATGCTTGTTGATTTTGACCTTAATTTTATAAGCAAGGACAGTTAGTAATTATAAGTGGAGCGTTATTCAGTTATAAGTGTTGTGTATTGAGGAATATGGGAAAAACAAAGAAGAAAGAGGGCATTTGAAGGTTGAACTTTATCACCCTAAAGATGTAGCTAAGGAACCAGAAAGAGAATAGTCTAATAAAAAAGAGCTCAATCTTGTTTCTACTGAAAACAGAAATGGAGTTTCATTCCCTAAGTGACATTTCAATTTTGTTGCCAAGGAAATTAAGAATATCTGGTGGGTTTAAAAGAACTGTTGATTCCTTAGCAACATAGCAAACAAGAATTAACCATTAAAAAGCAGGCCATTTCTTGTATTGTTTGATTACACACTTCCCTTTTATTGAAAGTGTAAGAGTAAGGATTTAGTCTAGGAATAGTTGAGATGATTTTTATTTTGGTGAATTCCTTTGATTTTAAAACCTACGGCAAGGAGATTGTAACTCTTAGTGAATGAACCATATCACAGATGATTTTGAAATCTGGTATAGGGTTATAGCAGCCAAGTTAAAAACTTGTTTCTTGCTTATGGAAAAAAGTTAAAAATTTACTTCTTTGCGATTTTAACTTCCAAGTGAAAAATATCCCCGCGACACCCCCTTTTTTCTTTTCTTTTTTCCTTCCAAATATCTTTCCTTTTGTTTTCTTTCTTTTCTATGTGAAAACAGATATCTTGATGTCTATATTGTCATTAACGATATCCTTTTTTCTTGTCAGGAAAATCGATTAGTCCTTAATTTCCAGTTACAATGGAGCTGAAATTCCAAGAAGGCCTCATTTTACTGGAAATATTGTTTCCTTGTAGATAAGCATTGGAGCAAGCACATGAAGGGGAAATCGCGAAGGATTTCCTTTTACTTTTACAATGGCTACTGTGACATTCTTGTTTTCGATCATTAAACTGATCTCATATTTTCTTAGGCATCAGAAAATGATTGTATGTTAAAGGCATTACTGTAGGACCTTTGAATAATTGCATATTGGTTCCTTTTGTTATCTGGAAATTGTTGGGGGAATACAATATTATTCTCTTAAACTTTAAACTTTGGCTTGTTTAGTCTTTTCCTGCACTTCTTAGTTTTTAGTTTTCCTTTTCTCCATTTGTCAAGGGGTAAATGTTGAACCTTAAGTTACACTAGTTGGTTTCACTAGGCTCTATTGCAACCAAAACTTTCTGTATCATCATATATGTTTAGCTCAATATGGATGCATAAACTAGCAGTGGAAAATTGAACTAATTGTTCCTGGAAAAAAGCAGCTCAGTGCACAAAGCATCTTGCATTCACGCAGGGTCGGGCGAGGGTCTGTACCTCAAGGGTTGTGATGTAGACAACCTACCCTAATGCACACTGATGACTTTTTTCACGGTTCGAACTCATGACCTATGGGTCATACGGAGATAACTTTTCCGTTGCTTCAAGGCTCAGCTAATTGCTCCGGGATTATATAAAATACTCTTGACTTGACGTTCCACTCAAGAATGTGGGTGGGACGAATGACATTTCTTCACATTTTAATCATAAGTCTCGGGTTCAAGCCTTGAGAATTGACAAAACATTAAAATTTGTTCAGTATTACTACTTTTTCTTTAAAAAACAAAAACAAAAGACATATTTATTTACACCGACAAATGCAGTTTTTCCCTTTTTCTTTATCCCATGGGAAATTTAAGGACCAATGGGTAAAACATAATTTTAGATCAAACATTAAGCTAGAAATTTGTCGAATAAAGCAACACAGTCAGAGTTAGAAACAACGTAAGAGGTACTAGGAGCAGAAATCTATCAATCAACATGCAAAAACAGGGTATTTACAGTACAGTAGCTTATAAATGTGTATCATAAGAATACAACAACAACGATCCAATAAAATCCCACAAGTGGGGTCTAAGGAGGATAGTGTGTACACAGACCTTACCCCTACCCGATAGAGCAAATAGGCTGTTTCTGATGGACTCTCGGCTCAAGAAGACGGAAAGAAAACGAGAAGAGACAATATATCAATCTGTTTATCATAAGAATCTAAAAAAAAGTAATACAAGCTGGATTCATTTGATGGACTAAAGATTCACATGGATTCAGTAGGTTCAACTGAAACCAATATTTTCCGCTCCAAACATAGAAATATATATGTGAAAATTATTAAAGTTTTAACAAAATTAAAACATATTCAACACTAAAAACCTTAAAAGTTGAATTTGTTGACTTCAAATTCTGAATCCACGTCTGCCGTCAAAGTTGATTGATGAGGTAGAGAGCATTACTAGTAACCTTAGCAACATTAGTAATCTTTCTCTTCACATCATACCTAATTTTTCCATTAATTTCTTTGAAACCATCTAAACAAGTATCTTCATTTGTCAAAGCAGCACTAACCCAAGTCTCCAAATTACTCATTTGTAACTTAAAACCTTTCCCTTTATGCAAATGTTTTAGCTCAGAAATAGCCTTTCTTAGCTCATACATTGAGTCACCTATTTGCTCTATACAATCAATAAGTGCCCCTTTTTCTCTTTTGCTTTGTAATTTCAATTTGATGAGGAAATTGGAAGCTTTTTTGGCTCTTGAAAGAGTGACATTAACGGCTGCTTTTGCTAAATCTTTGGGGGTGTTAATGACATAGTTATAAGATGAGAGGGTTCTAATGCAAATATTAGGGTAACTTGCATGGACACAAGATGTACTTACAAGATTTGTGGAGGATGGAGATGATGAAGTGATTGGTTTCTTCCCTTTGGTAAAGTGAGAGAAATGGAGAATGGAGACAAGAATAAGGAGAAGAAAGCGAAGCATTTTCATTTGTCAGTTTTGATCAGAGACGAATCCAGAATTTAATATAATATGATGAGTTCAGAATGTGTCAAATATATATATATATATATATATATATATATATATATATAACGAATCAAGTGAAAGACAAGGGTGGAACTACCTTTAGTAAATGGGGTTCAATTGAATCTCCTCCGTCGATATATTATACTACTCAAAATAATAAAAGCAAACTTTTTTTTTAATATGTATACATTATTGAATCTTCTTGACATAAAAAAGTAGCTAGTGTAGTTAGTGGCGAAGCCAGAAATTATCCCAGGGGTGTTCAGACTTGAAAGAAGTAAAAACAAAAAGTTCCGAGAAAGGGTGTTCAATACATGTTATATACATCTAAAATCTATTATTTTACTTATATACACATTGTAATTTTTCGTAATATTTCGATGACGGGACCACCCTTAGCAAAAGGTGGCTTCGCCCCTAAGTGTAGTAGCAAAGGTGAGCCAATATTTTGTTAATTCTTCTTTTTCTCTTTATACATACATAGATTATACACTGATTATATACTTATATATATTATATATATTTGTCAACGATTTTTAATTTAAGCGATTGAATGTGTCGCTTTTAGTTCTTTTTTTTTTCTCTTTCTTAAATGTGAAGTGACTGTGTGGACTATAAAGTGTACTGTTAGCTGGGGTTAGCTGCTGAGTTCTTTATAGGGGTTGGTGAGTTTGATAAGTGTGCATTAATGTAAGAGGCCGTTCGGACATAAGAATTTTTTTTTTTTGGAAATTTTTTTATTTTTTTCTAAATCAGCGTTTGTTCATAAAATTTTCAATTTTCACTTGAAGATATATTTTGTAATTTTTCGAAAATTTGAAATACTCCAAAAAGCTGTTTTTCAAAATTTTCACTCAGATCACTCACAAAACTTCAAAAACAACCCAAAATTATATTCATGTCCAAACAAAACTCTAATTTTCAAATACCATTTTCACATGAAATTTTTGTCACTTTATTTTAAATTTTACAATTCTTATGTCCAAATGCCACTAAGGCATTCATAGATTGTACAAAAATCTCACAAGTTTCATTTGGCAGTTTCAATGCTAAACTATAAGGGTAGTTTTCTTTAAAAGTTAGAAATAACTCACCTCTGGAAATAGGAATTGAATTTGGGGTGGGGGTAGATATTGGAAGATGGTAAATGTTAAAAGGAAATTAAATGAACCGTGAAGAGTAAGACTAAGAAACAGTACTCCCTACTGTGGCCTATAGTAGAGGCGGATCTAGGATTTAAACTTTATGGGTTCAATATTTAAGAATTTATTGTGATTTTAGTGATTTTTTGCATATAAATTTGTACTCTATTTTGAAAGTTATTAGTTCAATTGAACCCGATGTTATAGGGCTACATACGCCCCTGGTCCTATAGGTCACAAATTCAACTCGTGAAATTAGTTAGTGATGCTTGCATCAGTATAAATTATCTACATTACATCCCTTATGGGGTACGACCCTTTTCTAAATCTTGAGATACTTCGTGCATTAGACTGCATTTTATTGCGGAGAACAATCACAACCTTACTCTTGAATTATTTGCAAAAATATCATCGTTCATGTCAATTCTTTCTACAATATTTATTCCAAAACTAACATGCATAAAATCGCTATAATAACGCCAAACAACGGGTATTATGTCTTTTTGCAAATCCATATGAAGAATTTCAAATTCTGCCCTGACTTTTGAGTCATGGATTTTACGAATGTCACCGACTAGAGTTGCGGTGAAATGGTAAGTGCTCCTTCATCCTTAGCTAGAGATCTTATGTTTGAGTTAGGAGAATAAAATTGCTTTGTTAGGACACGCTTTACCCCTAATATAAAATTTTCCGGCACGAATCCAGATTTAGTCGGGTCCAATGCCGGTACCAGACAAAAACCAAGAAGAGGAATTCTACATACGTCTCATTCATAAAGTGAGAGAACTATAAGTCGTTATTGTTCAAAATACTTATTAATTTTTTAAAGGGGTCCATTTTGTGAATTATAAGTTCTTTTTATTGGAGAAAAAAAAAAAAAGCAATTTTGTTTGCACATAACCTGTCACAAAGTTCATTTATATGGAAATTCTATTTTTCAGAAAACTCTGAAATGATGAATAAGGATCAAGGAGATTTTTCATAAATAGGAAATCGGAATAATGGGCTCAATTATTGATAGAGTGAATTAATTTGTCATTTCTTAAAATTTCTCTTCTGATATAGAATCGTAATGTAACGTGTATCTTTCCCTGTTTCGGTTACGGAATAGATGAAATGAATTAAAAAAATAATTTTTTATTCTTATTGGAACTCATTGTGATGAACTGCTGATCAATCACAATAATTGTGAAGTATTGTTCAGTATCTTATTTTTCTTTGTCTTCTTTGAAACTAAATTCAAATAAATTATGTCCTTTTCGATCACAACCGGACAAGACAAAAGGAATAAATGAGAATGACCTACCAAATGATATTTTTTTTGGTTCAGCCGATCAATAGGTTAAAGGGACAAATATACCCCCTACTTTTGTATATTGTCTACGTTTAACTTCCATTATATTATTCGGTCAAATTTATCCTTATCGTTATACTATCCAGCTGAATTTATCCCTACCATTAGCAAGCTTTTAAAAATTAGGGAAATTTTCATAAAGCACTATCTTTTAGTAGTAATTAGCCATCTATAGATACCATTTGCTATATTACGGATTATAGGTACCTTTTATGTGGTTATAAGAAGTATTTGATGTATTTAAGCTATTGTATTCATGAATACAGTAGCAAAAATAGGGGTGAATCAGGGAAGCCAGCTAATCAGTTATTGTATTCGAGTGTATTCGACTGTATTCATGGAGTGAAACATGGGATTACAGCTGGACAGATTATTGTATTCGCCTGTATTCAACTGTATTCACGGCGTGAAATAGGGGATGACACTGTTTTTAAAAGGGAAAGTGAATCAATTAACATAATAGACTCCTAATATAACTCAACAAACTCAATTATAATACACAAATTTTGTATTTTCAGTTATAAAAAAGATTCTCAACCGAAAAATACCCCAAAAATATAGCAATCTTCAGAGAAAATATATAATACATCTGAATACATAAATTATATTAATTAAAAAAAACTTATGAATACATTCATGGCATATAGCGAGACAGTGAATACAATGAAATACATAGAATACAGCGGGATACATTGAAATATAATGAGAAAAAAGGACAATGAATACAATGAAATACATGGAATACAACGAGATACATTGAATTACAATGAAAAAAAAGACAATGAATACAATGAAATACATGAAAATACATTGACATATATTAACAGAAAGTCATCCTACAACATCCATATCTCAATTTTTTCAATTGGCAGGGACGGTATTCACGAGGCTAGTGGAGCCAGCTTATACAGCAGTGAGTAACGAGTTTAGGAGGAGAATGGGAAGGAAAACGACAGTGACAAGCCTTGGCGGATTCGACACTTGCTACACAGTCCCCATTAGAATTCAACAATAACGCTGATGTTTGCGGGCATGGAAATAAGCTGCCGCAGGACAACTTCTTGATCCGTAGCAGAGAAGGAATCAATTAATGGAGGATCCGACACTTGCTACTCAATCCTAATAGAATGGATCCAAAAAAAAAATGGGTGTAGTTAGAAATCTACAAAGCTAAACAGTAAAAACATACTCTTAGTAATTGCCTAATCCTATCATCTAGTCTTCTACTCATATACATAGTGATCCGCTCTTCATGTGTCTTCCTCTGTTGCTTTCTTGCTTCTTAACGGAATTGGCTGGTTTGGGGACCAATCCAGGTATATTGGTTACCTCCGTAGCAGAGAAGGAATCAATTAATGGAGGATATCGACTTCTTGCTAACAATTCTCCTACTACAATGGAGGATATCGACGGAGGAGAAATCGCAAGCGAACTAGACAGAGAAGAGGAAGAGTATCGGAAATTTTAATGGGATGGGGGAAGAGAATGGGATGTATCAAAGTAGAGAGAGAAAGAAAATATTGTAACTGATTAGCGTATTTAGTGGCTTAGGGCTAGGAGGTAACCAAAATTAAATATTTTGCTATAAACCTTAAAAGGTATCTATAGAATATAATTTTTTTAAATGATATTTATTTAAAATAAATAAGGTGTTAACCTTTGCTATATGAGGTAAAAATTCCTAAAAATTACCCCTTGATCTGTTAGGTAATCCAAAATCTCCCAATTTCCTTTTATATAAATCACTTGTTGTCTTCTTGCTCCACTATTTTCAGGAATTACTATTGTTAAGAGCTCAGCTATGGAGTCTCACGAGATCAAACACAGAAGCTATCGAAGAGAAGAGAGAAGGAGAAGAGAGGTTCCATTAGAAGAACAGTGAAAAATAAAATCTGTACAGTACATAACTAACTAACTAACACCTATTTTATACAAATAATAACGTACTTATCTTAACTTAATTTCAGCTGCTAATTACAGCTCATTGACAACTGTACACCCATACACCTAACTAACTAGAGTAACTAACTAGAGTTCTCCACACTCTCCCCTCAAGCTGAGGGATGAAAACAAGTTCTTCATTTCCAGCTTGCTCACTAAGTAATCATGTTGTGGACTACACAGGTCTTTATCAGCACATCTGCAAGTTGTTCTTTGGTTCCAATATGCTGCGTTTGAATCAGACCTTCCTAGATTTTTTCCCTCACAAAGTGACAGTCTATGTCAATATGCTTTGTCCTTTCATGAAAGATTGGATGAACTGCAATTTGAATAGCAGCTTTGCTATCACAGAAAAGGTGTATTGGAACTTCAACTTCAATGTTAAGCTCTCTGAATAGTCCTGTTAGCCATGTAACTTCTGCTACTGTTGTGGCCATGCTTCTGAATTCCGCTTCAACTGAGCTTCTTGAAACTGTTCCTTGCTTCTTTGATTTCTGGGATATCAAGGCTTCTCCAAACTTGATTACATAACCAGTTACTGATCTTCTTGTTTCTACACAAACACCCCAGTCTGAATCACAGCAGGCAGTTAACTTCATATTTCCTTCTGCTGGCATGAATAGACCTAGACCTGGAGTTCCTTTTATATACCTGATGACCCTCTTGGCAGCAGTCATGTGAGACTGTTTAGGAGCATGCATGAACTGACTAAGTACTTGAACCACAAAGGCTATGTCAGTCCTAGTCATGGTTAAGTACAATAGTATGCCTACTATTCTCTGATATTTCCCTTTGTCTTCAAGTTCATTGTCATTGTCACTACCATTCTTGGTGACAACCTTATTAAATTCCATAGAGGTTAGCTTGTGATTGAATTCTAGTGGAGTAGTTACTGGCTTTCCACCCAACAAACCTAGTTCAGAAACTAGTTCAAGTGCATAATTTCTTTGGCACATTTGAATTCCTTTTTTTGATCTAGAAAATTCAATGCCCAAGAAGTATTTTAGTTCCCCAAGATCTTTCATTTTGAATCTGACTTGTAAGTCCTTCCTTACTTGCTCAATCAACTTCAAGTTGGTTCCTGTTATTAGGAGATCATCCACATAGACAAGTGTGACCACCAGGTGTGATCCTTTTCTGTTGTATGAAGAGAGAATAGTCATAATGAGACTGTGTGAACCCCATATCCAACAGAGCTTCTGTTAACTTCAAGTTCCACTGGCTAGGAGCTTGTTTGAGCCCTTACAAGAACTTGTTGAGCTTGAATACCTTCTGATACTCCCCCTGGCTTGAAAAGCCATCTGGAATTTGCATAAAGAATTCTTCAGAAAGATCTGATAACTGTGATTTTAACACGTTTTATGCCCATACTTGCCTATGCCTTATGTATGAATTGTCATGAAATAGACTCAGAATGCTTACAAAGTGTGCTTGATTGCAGGTTTGAGCGACAAGATGACGAAAGTCAAGAACCAACTCGAAACGGAGTGAAACCTGCTCAAGTATCAAAAATCAGTGAAGTAGGGACAGGAGGACCTAGCGCGGACCGCACTGATTTGTTGCGCGGCCGCGCTAGGAGATTCAGAGAGCACCCATTTCAGGAGTCTCCAAGCGCGGTCATCGCTCATTTCTACGCGGTCAGCGCTGGTGTCTACGCGGTCGCGCTTCAATGTTGTGCGGTCCGCGCTCATTAGCCTGTGCGGCCGCGCTACTTCTTTGTGCGGTCCGCGTCCCCAGTTCCAGAAGTGAATGATAGAAGGCCAAGACCCCTACGCGGCCGCGCTGCATTTATGCGCGGTCCGCGCCAGCCCCGCAGGGGTATTTTTGTCCGATTTTTCTGGCATAGTATAAATAGAATATTTTATTATTTCTAGGTTAAGTTTTAGACATCAGAGAGCAGCAGCACTCGTGAGATTCAAGTTTTAGCCTATTTTGGGCATTTTAACCTTGTTTTAACATGAATTCGTGTAGATTAACTTCCTAGTTAATTATTATGTTGATTTTATCTATTTCTTCTTTAATTTCTGTTGCTATTATGGCTAGCTAAACCCATTAGCTAGGGTTGTGGCTCAACCCTAGTGTGGGTAATTAATGGGTGTGATTGTTTAGTGCTTGAATGATGTTGGGTGTTTGATATTTGGGTTGATTTTATGTTTTAACTAGGATTTGGTGGTTGCAAACACTAAGTCTAGCTTAGTGAGTCTTGACTCTTCTTGAGAAAGAGTTTCTATGACTCCATAGTTAACCCAACAAGGAATTGGGATGGACCCATGAGAATGGTAGTCCCAATTAACGGGTAAGACCTCGAGAGAGTGATTACCCAACTTGAACCCTAAGTTGCTTGGTTTGTTAGTCTACCCAATTGGTCTCGAGAGAGTCAATTGGGCAAAATCACTCTTTCTACCGAGAGGTGTGAGAGTGAGTGCTATCGTGAAACGGTTATATCATAAGCCCCATAATCATCATTCTCGTATTAGGAATCTCGACCCGTTAGCTGATCACCTAGGTAAATGCCACGACCTTAGTGCCTTTCTCTATCTTGCATACAATCTAGATTAAATCTCTTCGCATAATTTAGTTATAATTAGTAGTTGTTA